GGAATGACGGGGACATCCCCCGTGAACTTCACGTTGTAACGTTTCTCCAGAGCCAAGCGCCCAGTCCTGGCAAGACCTGCTACAGACTTGACTCCACTCTCAGCTCCTCCTTGAGACGCATGGCTTCCGTTCGGAACCAGCCGAATGCGGAGTTGAGCCTCTGCCGCTTCCTTGCTAAGCTTCTTGGTACGCTCAGAAACAACTCCATTCATGAGCGCCCCCAGTGCAGGTTCGCCGTCCAACTGCACCTCCATGCTCATGTAGCCCAGCTCGTCCAGGAACTCGCTGATGGCTGCTATGGCGTAGCTCTGGTTCCCTTTCGCCTCGACAACAACTCCCATGAGATAGCCAGTCCTTCGGTCCTTGCCCACCGCCAGGGTGAGTTTGTGGCCAGCACCATATTCGCCAAGACTGAGAAACCCAGTCAAATGATACAACTGGAGTAGCCGATGCGTTTGGATCTCTTGCGCGGTGAGGGTCTTCTTGCCCCCTTCCCATCATGCACTCCTGACACCAAGCCCCGAAAGGTACGTGACCTCTCCGAATGTGCGCTCTGACAAGTTCTCATACCACTTGAACTGGCCTCTTGAGACCAGGTGCGGCGGGCGTCCCTAGCGAATCCTGGGCCCCACCAGCGGCACCACGTGGGCCATCGCGTGAACTTGCCGCTCCACTGCTGACCTGCATCTCGGCAGGCTCCTTCTCGACGGACTCCTCCTTCATCTGTGCGTCCTCCGTCTCAGGCTGCTCATCGACGTCCCCGATGATGGACTCGTCGCCCGTCGGATCCTTGGACCTCATTGGAAGAAGAAACGCATTCACCTTCCGACGTAGCTGGGGTGAACCAGTAGACCCCAGCGCTTTGTCAATCTCATGCTGCGCATTCTCGTTGCTTCTGAACATCTTGGCTCCGTCAGGGCCAAAGTGTACTGAATAACCTGCATCGTTCATCTCCGCGACCGAAAGAGCACCTCTACGGACTTCAGCTGGCGCAACGTTGAGCTTCGCACTGATCGTCGTATTCGAATCGAAAACTTCTCCCGCCAACGTGCGTTTATCCCATGTCCGTATACCCCTTCCAGTAATTGAACGCAAAGACCGACCTGGCTCGCCCGTGAGTTCGCACCCCTCCGTCATAGTCTTTGGTACGACATGAGTGTGAGCTCCACTGTCGACGAGCATCTCGCATTCGCCCCCGTCGCGGTCGTCCGTGAACGCAAAAATCCAACCCGCTTCATCCTCTGGTAGCACTGCCGCCTGCACCCGCCCAGGCACACGCGTCGTGGCCTGCGTAGGTACTGACACCTGTGATGCTGAGTCGCCTGGCTGGACCGTACTTGCTGTGCCCGATCCAGGTGGTTGTGAAGATCCTGGCTGGACCTCCGACACGGGTCGTTGACCTCCTCCAGGCTGGCAGGCGCCGCCACCGCACTTCCTGCAATCCGCCATCTTGTGTCCATACTTACCGCAGTGCGGGTTAGAGCACCATCCGTCGAAGAACTTCACCTCATCCTTCTTACTCTTGGTCATGCCTTTGCCGTCGCTTTTGCCGCCTCGGCCCCCTGCACCCTTTTGGCCACCTGCCTTGCCGCCCTTCATGTCCGACCTGCCGTAGCCCTTTCCCTTGGAGTCGTCCTTGCCGGCTTTGCCGAAGGCGTCTGCGTCCATGGCGTTGGGGTCGAACTTCTTCTGGGCCGTCTTCGTGTCTCGCTGGCTCATCTGCTGAGCGATAGACTCGCAGGTCTCACGCAGAGTCTGATAAGTCGTGAACGTTTGCGTCACCACCTGTGTCCTGAGCGGCTCGGGCGCGTTCTTCTTGATCATAGCCTGGATGAGGGCGTCCGAGATCATCTCGCTAAACTTCTCCTGATACCGATTGACGCCCAACAGAAACTTCGTGAGCTCCTCGACGTAGGTCTCCCACTTGCCTGAAAACTCCGCGTTCACTAAAACCTGCAGCTGCGTCACCCTGTTGGAGCTTGTCGCCGCATCTTCTCGCATGCATAGCCGTCGCCACTGCTCCAACCCATTTCCTTGCTCACAATTCATCGCCAAGGTGAGCGCGCTGCCGCCCAGCAGCTGAGACAGAATGCATCCCATCGTCGCTGCATACTGCTTGTTGTCGTCTCCCATCTCGGCCGGCGTGATTACCGTGCCATGACTAGCTGCTGTCGTGACCGCTGATGCCAACCTCGGGTCGATCGCGCCCAGGTAGCTGATCAGCTGATATCTGAAAGTCGGAAACTCATCGCGATTGCCTGAATACTTGTTCGGTCGCCCCAACAGGCGCGCATCTACAAGACCAGCCATCTGGCGAAGAAACCAATCACGCTACCATGCAAGCGCTGAAATAATAAGTGTGCGTGATCTTGATAACTTCGGGTAGCGGAGCTGGGGTCCACGGACCTTGCCCGACAGGGCTGGTGAAATCTCTTTTCCACCTCAGCATGAACTGAGCCAAAACTGGCTCTCCACAGTACACGAATGTTACAACAGCGCATGCACAACAAACCTCACTCAAATCACTGATATATCCATTGTTTCCTGCATTTTATGTAAAAAAACAAAAAAAATCAAGTCGTCGTTGAGCTCGAGGTCTGGCACCTGGGCGTCGACTGACGCGCGGTCTCCTGGGCCAGGCGGACCTGGCTGACGAGCAGGGGCAACAACAGCTCCAGGAGGAGCGGCAGCCTTGGCCTTCGACTCGCCATGCTCAACAGAAGCCCTGGCGTCGCGCACCTGCTTGGCCCCCGCCAGGAGAGTGTCGGTGTCTGTCTTGCGCTGCTCCAAGCTGGGCTGCTTCGCGACGGTCGAAAGCATTGTGCTGAGGACGTCGATCGATAGCTGACGTCCCGAGGGTCGCACCGTCCTTCCCCCCTTGTACAACGCTGCCTCGACGTTTCCTCGACCACGCCAGCTCGTCCAACTCCGAGAGGCTTTCCTCATGCTCTCGCATTTGGCACAACTCCTCGTCGTAAGCCTGCTGGCTCTTTGCGAGGAACTCTGCCTTCTCCACGACCCTGTTCTTGTTCCTGTCGGCCTGCAGTGCTTTGTCCGCACGCCGCTGCAGCACCTCAGCCAAAGACTTCGAAGATACATCCCCACTATCGTCTCCATTGTTGGCACTGGCTTGGCGACGGCGAGCCGTTCGTCTGACACCTGCACCTTAAATCCCAAAGCTTCGGCAGCTTCATGGAGGATGGCGAGGGCCGCCCCCCCCCCCCGCCGCCTGCAGGTGGCCGTCGTCCTTGGTGATGTCGACACCTTCTTCCTTAGACTGACCGCCGCTCCATCTTGCCGACGACGACTACTTCCCCCGCTTCTGCCTCCCAGCACCCCTGTTGGACTCGGGTTGCTCCCAGAGTGTTTCGAGGCCACACAAGCGCGGCAAACTAGGCGTTGTAGGTTGCGGGGGCAACCGCCACAATTGCCCCAGTACGTCCATTGATGTTGAAACGACTGACGCCCATATCCCATGGGCACGAGAGGCAGACTGGCGGTATCGCAAATACGAGCCGCTCTGAAATTCGCGTCTGCAAGCTCAGGTCCCGCCTGAGCCAGATCGGCAAAGGAGGAGGAAGAGGGGGAGGGGGAGGAGGCAAGCTAGGTGCGCTCGCGTCATATCTGACATCCTACCCCTCCCTCCCATCCCTTACCATGGCGTAGATCCCCTCTCTTCTCGCACAGTCGGATGTCGAGCACGGCAACGATCCCGAAAGGGTACGCGATGCATTGTAGAACACGGCATGGCATGGCGTAGAAGAGCACCGCAAAGCGTAGTATCAACCTAGCATTGCATTGCATGCCGTGGCATGGCACGGGAAATGACGCCAGCGCTGCAGCGGGAGCACGAGTCGAAACGAGCGGAAGCGCGGAAATGAGGCCAACGCTGCAGCGGGAGCACGATTCGGAACGAGCGGAAGCACGGCAATGAGGCCAACGCTGCAGCGGGAGAGCGATTCGGGACGAGCGGGGCCCGAAAATGAGGCCGGCGCCTCAGCCAAAGCAGCATTTTGAAAACAAATGCAAGCGAAAACCCAACTCCGGAGAAACCTGTGTGTAAAACAACCTCACGCGGGGGGGGGGTCGAGCACTTTCAAACCGTCATCAGGGGAAGAGGGAGAGGAGTATTCATATTGAGTAATTGTAAAGGAATCATTTAAGGAAGGCAGGGTGGGGGGAGGAGGAAGGAGGTGTGAGGAGGGAGGAGGGATGACAGGACGGAGAAAAGATGAGCAACAACAGCAACGTTCATCCCTCCGCCCATGTCCCTCCTTCATCCGCCCTGCCGCCGCCACTTGCCCTTCCCTCGTCCCTAGACTTCGGGCGACGATCTTCGGCGAGGTTCGAAATTTGAGGATCCCAAATCGAGGATTCAGGATGTTTTCTTTGTTATCTTGAGAGCTTCTCGTGTCCACGGCTGGAATCGCTTCGAAATTCTCGACAAACTGCACTTCATGATAAGTCTTCGGGCGGGTTTCTGACCCCAGGCCCTCCGTCGCAACCAAACTTCGGGCGGATGGATATTTCAATCCTGATGTTTCCATATCTTTCGGCGTCTGGGGGCCAGCTTCGGGTCCGCGGGCCATCAGGAGCGGTTCTGAGACGAAAACCTGCCACTAGGGAAAAGGTCGGGACTTTGAGGGCCCGCGGATTGAAGTACTGTGTGCAATGGGAAAAAACTCGGATCGAGCAAAAAACCCCGGATACACCCCGGACAGCATGGACATTTCCCGGACAACCCGGACAGCCCTGACCACCAGGCCAGGCTCACAGATTTCGGGCAACGGCGCCTCGGGCTGCCGCCCCCACAGCTTAGGACGGCTTGAGATGAGGCAGGGCATCTATTCTTCGGGCTGCGATCGTCAAGCTACTAGGCGGTGCTGGGGATCGAGGGCGTGGGGTGCGCCATCCTGGGCTGCTGCCTCCCTCACTGCTGGTTGGCCGGCTTCCCTCATCTGCCCCCAGCCACCCCCCCCCACACACACTCGGCAGGCAGCCTTTCGGTGCCAGCCTGACGTCCACGCCGGTCACGTCGCCCTCGCGAGCTGGGCCCCCCCACCGCAAGCAGGGAAGCTGCAGACGGGTCAGCAGCCCCCCCCCTTCTCCTTCTCGTCATCCTTTTCTTTTTCCTCCTCCTCCTCCTCCTGCTCCTCCCTCCTCCATTTCAGCTACGGACGCAGTCCATCTGGAGCGTCCTGGCTTCCAAACGGCAAACTGCCTGGTGGCGCCGACATTGTCGAGTAGGCACCATCAGCGTACACAAGCCACCGCCAGATACTACGTTACCGCATAGCTGTGGTCAGCGGATCGCCCGAGTCTTACCGCATGTTCTGGTTCACCTTGCCACTCGCTCTGCTGCGTCAGTTCAGCCTGCGACCGCCATTGGGCAATCACACCAAAGCCAGGGTCTGAGCTTTGGGGCCGAAGATTGGCTAATCTCTTCTGGCTGTTTTTTGCTCCACGTCAGTGCTTGCCAACGCTATCCCTCCTTGTTTCACTGCTTACCTCTCTCTCTCGCATTCTCTCTGTCTCGTTTTCTCTCGCCTTCTCTCTGTCTCCTCATGGGAGCAACACTACACAACCAATCGGCAAGAGATGCCGATCGCCGTGATAATGGACTTGTCGAACAATCTCACGGCCTCGTCGGCTTCCTCCTGCTAGGGGGCCAACGGAGAAATAACAAATGTCCAGCAACACGGCTTGCCATCCGGCTTGGCTCTTGGAGGGGTCGTCTTCCGCACCGGGCTGGCACCCCGCACAGCACAATTTATGAAAGGTCGTCTACAACACTGGGTTGGCGCCACCGCTGCCGCTGGCCTTCGCTACATCATTAATGCCCAGCACAAAATTCAAAACAGGACGCAGGGCGCAACCTTAAAAGCAAAGCTCTAAACACATTCTCTTGCAGAGGAGCAGCTGCAACGAGGCTAGCCTTGCAAGCGCGAACTCTCAACCAACATGCACATCATATCGCTTTGGTCCCCCGTGTAGTCGCCCTGTCTCAAGACTGGTCTTGGGCTTCGATTGCCGTGCCATTGATCTGGAAAGCCGTCATCCAAAACCACCTCTCTTGCGCCCTTGGCCTTTTTGAACCACATTCTCGTAATTACCGTGCGAACAGAGAAAGCTTCGACATGAAGTGGAAACGCGAGTGCAAGTGCGCCGAGCGGTTCTCAGCGTTCGGCGCCGTGCAAGATCATTCGCACGAACAGCATGGGAAGGAAACGCGCATTGCTTCCGCACAAGAAGACGAAGAGTATTCGAGCACGTGTCTGACTCCAAGGTCGTCGCTGCCTGCCGCTGCCAGTGCTGCAGAGTCTCCTGAGTGCTGTAGTACAAAAGGCAAACGCTGATGTCCAGGAAACGCACTTGGTGAATACTCCCAACTCGGGAAAAGTATGTGTAGATGTCCTCTGGGCGTGGGTCATGCATGACTGAGGAAGGCGCGAGCAAACTACCGATGAACAAGCTGGCGCAATCGCCGATTAACCGTCGATGGTAGTTCGTTCGAAACTCTCGCTTCGCACTTGAGATTGCATATGTTTCACTCTGATATTAGCTACTATGTCGCAAACACTGGGTGAAATTTCCGCAGGTCCGCTCGAGCCCCCAATATGGAGTCCGATGCACAATATTTTGTGGAAACACCAGGCCCTCGATTTCGGGGTCGTCTCGGTCGCTTCTGGAAGCTCCTGGGGCATTCCCCGTAGTTTGTCCCGAAATCTTGGGAACGCGGTGCGGAATCCAAACCTCCAACATGCCGTAAGATGGTCCCCAAGGCCTCTCCTGGGACGTTCTGAGACGTCTCACCAACCGTCTTGGGTGTTCTCTTTGTCGGCCCCAAAGACCTGTCTAGTCTCACCACACGGATTTGCACCACGTTTCCACTGTCGCCTCAAAGCCCTCAAGATCGTATAAGACGGCCCAGCCCAAGAGTTCCCCCAATATCGCCTCAAGGCGGCCATACAGCCCGCAACAGGGGCCTCATATACCTCCAAGAGGGGCCTCAGAGAGGCTTCGAAGCGGGAGCACGCAAGGACCTCGGAAGCCCTGCTACCCGAGATGGACCCCGAGACCGCCAAAAATGCCCCCAAGGGGCCCCAGGAAACACCCAAGGGGGCCCTCCAAGAGGATTCCGGTCCACGAGCCAGGCACGGAGGCGCGCGGGGCCGAAGTCCACTACAGACAAAACGTGTAGTAAGGACGGGTGGTAAGGACGCAAGACCCTTGGAGGCCGAAATTGGAATCTTTTGGGCGGCGGGCGACCAATGAAAACGGCAAAGGATGGGCCGCAGAGGCAGGGACACAAACGTACCCTAGATGAAGGCACGCGTCTTTACTAGGCGCGTTGACGGTAGGTCAGTCCCCCCTTGTGGCGTGCCACAGGCGTGCACGGCATGCCATATGTTAGGTCGTTGTTGGTCCTTTGTGAGGTTTCTACTGGGCCTTCGGCCAAATCCGCCAGCCACCCGGAACGGTGCGCCAAGACGCGGAAAAGCGCGCGAAGACGTGCAAGCAGGGGAAGCACCGGAAAACTCGCCTCCATGAGGACTCGTCAACTTCCCAGGTCGTCTGTCTTCCTGCTCCAGACGGCCCTAAGAGGGCCTCCAAGACAGCCAAGATGGTCTGCAAGACAGCTACGATGGCCCCAAGAGAGCCTAAGATGGCCCCAATCTGTCTCCAAGACGGGCCGAGATGCCCCCAAAATGCGCCAAGATGGCCTCAAGATTCCTTAAGACTGCCCAAGAGGCCCCCAATACGGCCAAAGAGGCCTCCAAGAGGACCTCCAGGAACCAGGAAGGCCTGAAGAGGTCGAGATCATTGAGTTGCCTGTGGTTTCTGATGGAATTTGTCGTTTGCCCATTTTCGGCGCTCCGACGGCCCAAGACGGTCCCAGAGGCCACCAAGATGGCCCCGCGAGCGCCCAGGAGGCCTCCGAGAGGCCCCCAAGACGGCCCCAAGAGCGCCCCAAGACAGCCCAGGAAGCCTTCAAGAAGCCCAAGATGGTCTCCGAGACGGCCCTGAAGGGCCCCAAGAAACCCCGAGTCGGCCCAGAGAGGCCCGTAAGACGGCTTCCGACGGCGTCAAAGGGGCCAGGAACACCCTCAGACAGTCAAATAGCCTCTCAAGGAGCCTCCCATGGTCCCCACGAGGCCCAATGGCGCCCCCAAGAGGCCTTCAAGAGGCCCCCTGCAAAATCCCAGAAGGCCCCGAGTGCCCCAAGATGCCGCCTCCTCCCCCTCCTTTTTCCTCCCTCCCATCCTTTTCTTCCCCCCCATGCGCTCCCCGAGAGTTTTCCGCAACGGCTGGGGCAACAAGTAGTCTGGCATTGGCGGAGCTCTGGCCACAACCTTCGGCCACATGAGCGCTTCCAAAAGGCAGGGGGGCGTTGTTGATTCACCAGGGGGGCGTTGTTGATTCACCGTAGTCGTCTTAGATCCGTCGTCTCCTGTGGCTTGCCACAGGGGTGCAAGGCGTGCTAGATGTTAGGCAGTTTTGTTATTAAGAAATTACCAAGGGCCTTCAACCCAACCCGCCGGCCACCTGGAGAGCCGCGTAAAGACATCAATGTGCACAACCAAGCGTCACAAGACGGCCAAGATGGCCCAAGATGGCCGCCGAGATGCCTCCAAGAAGGCAGAGATGGCCCAAGATGGCCTCCAAGACCGACCAAGATGCCCACAACATCGCCCAAGGTATGCCCGAAGAGGCCAACATCATTGATTTTCATGCGGGTCTTGACGGAGATGGAGATTGCTCATTTTCGGCTTTCCGACCACCCAAGCCTGCCCCAGACCACCAAGATGGCCCCTAGAGCGCCCAAGAGGCCTCCGAGATGGCCCCCTGACGGCCCAAGAGGCCCCCAATACGGCCCCTAAGAGGACCCCAAGACGGCCCAGGAGACATCCAAGACGCTCAAGATGGTCTCCGAGGCAGCCCTGAAACGCCCCAAGAAGACCCCTTGTCGATACAGACAAGCCCACAAAACGACTTCAGACGGCGTCAGACGGGCCATGAACGCCCTCAGACGGCCAAAGAGCCTCTCAAGGCTCTCAAAAGGCCTAAGGAAGCCCCCAAAAGACTTTCAAGAGGTCCCCAGGAAGCTCCCAGGAGGCCACAAGAGTGCCCCGATGGGCCACCTTCTCCACCTCCTCGTCCTTTTTCCTACCTCTTCTCCTCCTATTCTTCCTCCCTCACGTGTTCCCCGAGAGGCTTCCACAACGGCTTGGGGAACACGTAGTCCGATGACTTGGCCGAGCAGTGACCGTAACGTTCGGCCACACAGGCTCTTCCAAAAGGCAGGGGGTAACGGTGATTCGCCGTAAGCGTCTTCGATCCGCCGCCCCCTGTTGCCTACATGAGTGTGCCTGGTGTGCTGACTGTGAACTGACCCTTCGGGCCTTTCCAATGGCCCTTGCGCAAAGCGCCGGCCACCCGGAATAAACGAAAAGAGGCAAGGGCCCTTTTTCCGCTCAAGAACACCTTGAGAGTGCTTCCGGTATGGCCTCGAAGACGGTCAAACGACGCCTCCAAGACTTCCAAGATGACCTCAATCGGGTCTCAGATGGCTGTGAGATGGCCCAAGACGGCCCCATAGGTCCGCAAGACTGCTCAAGATCGCCGCAAGAAGCTCCGAAAAAGGCCCACGAAGACCCCCAGAGGCCTTACAGAAAGGCCCGAATAGGCCACCACAACTAGATTCAGATGGCGTTTGGCAAATATGCCCGGTCTCGCCTTGTCTGGCATCCGGAAACCCAGGACGGCCCCAGCGGCATCTGACGCGCCATGACAGCCCCAGAAGCCCCCCAGAGGCCACCGAAGTGGCGACGATTTCCCAGATCGCAGCCCCCCCCCGGTGAATGGCGAGGTCGAATCTGAGACTGGGCAGGGCCCTGCCGTGCTGCCCCCCCCCCCCCCCCCAGCCCCGCGCGCGCACCCCGCAGCGGCCCTCGAAAGTGGCGGCGGAAAGCAGATCGCAGCCTCCCAAACGTGGCGGGGTCTCATCTGAAACTGCGCGGGGCCCCGCCGCGCTGCCCCCCTTCCCCGGCAGCCCGCGAACGCGGCGACGGCATCGCAGGTCGCAGCCCCCCCCCTCCCCCCCCGGATGGTTAGGTCAAATCTGGATCTGGGCGGGCCCTCCAACCCTCGAAAGTGGCGACACTTTCGCAGATCGCGACCCCCCAGGGATGGCGAGGTCTAGTCTGGATCTAGGTGGGCACCCACGGCCCCGCTGCGCTGCCCCCCCTGGCAACCCGCGAGAGTGCAATCGGTATCGCAGATCGCAGCCCACCGGGGACGGCGAGGTCGTGGGCGGGGGGGCGGAAAGGGTGCGGGAAGGAGGAGGGGCGCGACAACGATGCTTGAATCATAACGAGGACCCGACCAAGGAGGGCTGATATATGTTTCATCCATATGTATATGTCTATGTATATGTATACGTGTATACATGTACATATGTTTGTGGATTTGTGTATATATGTGTATATATATGGGCGTATGCACGTGATATCTATATATATATATAAATATAAATATGGGCGCTGGCCTATCCCCCCCCTGCTGGAATCGATGGTTGTTTTTTTTTCCAACTAAACTGACGACGTACCACGCGACCCATGAGCGACCACGACGTCGCGCGCGGGCTCCCGAGCAAACCTTCGATGACGACCTGCAAAAACAACAGAGGTAGTGTACACTGCGAGCAGCAGATGGAACTGAGCAGACATGAAAAAAAGACCGCGCGACCCATGAGCGACCACGATGTCGCGAGCCCCTGAGCCAGGGCCCCGCGCAGGAGCCAGCCTGAGCAGGCCTCTCCCCTCCAGACCCAGGGGGAAGGGGGATGCGGGAGTGGTCAGGGCACCTCCTGCTTACAAGGCGCAAGCCGTCTCGCTCACTCACACCGCCCTCCAATTACATAACCTCAGGAAGTCTTTAGTTTCGGGTCCCACCCACCCCTGCTTCTCTCGGCGGGAAATAAGCTCCGCCCCGTCCTCCTCCTTCTGATCCTCCTCGAGTACTACTACCGCTACTAAGACTGTTATTGCTACTGCTATTGCTACTGCCAGCGCCCCTGTTATTATTATTGCGACGACTACTGCGAGTACTATTACCACAACCACTACCACTACTACTACTACTACTACTACTACTACTACTACTACTACTACTACTACTACTACGACTATTACGACTACTACGACTACTACGACTACGACCACGACTACTACTATTACCACTGCTACGATTGCTACGACTACGTCTGCGACTACTACTACTACTACCACTACTACTACTACTACTACTACTACTACTACTACTACTACTACTACTACTGCTACGTGTACTGCTACAGCTTCTTGTTACTACTACTACTACTACTACTACTACGACTACTACTACTACTAGTA